CATTGGACATCCCATATTTTTACAGACCAATCTGCACTAGGTGGGTAATGTGGTCAGCATTACGCCGGCCGTCTTTACTTCCCCAGGACAGCCATCCTAGTATACATTTTCAGCTGGGTCGACCTGCGACGCCCTATACCACGATAAAAATCCACACATCTAGCAGTAGGTTTCGATCGCGGTACATTGGAATTATGAATCGGATTCGCAATGCCGAAGCACGGACGCCACTGTTTTTCAAGCTGATTTTTCATAAATCAAGTGCTGTTTTAATAATATTCAGGTTTTTTACACTGATTTTTTAAAAATAACATTGCATAAGCTTATGAATTTCAGTTGTTTCCTCGAAGCTGTCTTGTAGCATCCTCATCCAAAACATCTTAGGAATTGATGATAACTTTGTTTTATACACCCAGGTCGACCCAGCCTTGAGTGGGTACCGGGTGCAATCCCGGGAAGTAGAGGCGGCCGGCGGGATGCTGACCACATCACCCATCTTGTGCTGTTGGTCTATAAAAATATAGGTCTAGCCCTATATGCCCTATACGCCTAAAGGCGTGGAAAGGGTCCTTTACTTTACTTTTTACTTGTTTTATACAGAGTTTTGTCAACCTTTTTTTTTAAATGTCTTTTTTTGAATAACCTGTCTACCAACATAAGCAACTTTGTTTATACTCATGTGTTGACAGTTTGTAATATGGGATAAAACCCATTGCAAAGATGTCAATCTTCTCAACTTTAACCTTTAATTTTGTAATAAACCTCATTAGAATTTTCTACTTGTTCTAATATTCTTGATTGTTCATTAAAATTACTCTGTGTGGAAAGTGGCACCTGGGTGTGGTAAAGCATAAATGTACCCTTTACACGCCAGGGAGTATCAGGCACACGAGGCTAGATTCATATTTTTATAGGCCAGTTAGCCCTCGATGGCAGACTTTGGCTGTCTTCACTTCTCAGGACTTTACCTGGCACACATTTAAATTTAAAACTGGGTCGACCTGGGAGCTAGGATCATTTTTGAAAAAGTCTGGCTGCATTCAGATTTGAACCCACAACCTTCAAATCTTTATTTGAGGGTCTAGCTGCTTCTTTTTAAAGTCCATGCCATGTGGCGTTGGTAGTCATGTCTATCCACAACCTTCTGTCTCATGGACTTTCAGTCAACTCTGACACAGAAGATCCTCCTTGCCATGATGTCAAACTGTCCAGTTTCTTTTCTCTTGCCCTCCTTCTGACTCTCCTCTCCTCCAACTTTCTTACTGTCACGATGTACTCCAGTTTTCTACCTCTTCTCACATAACCGAAGAATGTAGATTTTCTCTTTCTGATGTTGAAAATCAGTTCTCTACCTGCTACAAATCATAAATGTACTAGTGTGAAACTCAGGGTTGTTCCTCAGGGAAGTTTGCTATAGTTATAGTTCGCCCATCAAAAGTGGTGAAAATAAAAAAAATTCATCCATTAAACAGAGTGGAATTTATGGGTTCATAGATAACCAATGAGGCAACTTTTGGCAGAGTATTCTTGGGCAATGTGGATAAGGAATTTGGGCAGTATCCGTTAGGGTATTCAATTCATAATTTGGGCAGTATCCACTGAGGGAATTCAGTTCATAATTTAGGCATTATCCTTTGGGGGATTCAGTTCATAATTTAGGCAGTATCCATTGGGGGATTCAGTTCATAATTTTGGCAGTATTTGTTGGGGGATTCAGTTCATAATTTGGACACTATTTGTTGGGGGATTTAGTTCATAATTTAGACAGTATCCATTATTAGATTCAGTTCATAATTTGGGCAGTATTTGTTGGGGGATTCAGTTCATAATTTAGACAGTATCCATTATTAGATTCAGTTCATAATTTGGGCAGTATTTGTTGGGGGATTCAGTTCATAATTTGGACAGTATCCATTAGGAGATTCAGTTCATAGTTTGGGAAGTATCCATTGGGGGATTCAATTTATTGTCTTCTTTTGTAGCTTCTCTTTGTTAAACTGCTGCTGGTCAGGCAATTAAAATGCTGATATGTACTACATTGAAATTCTTGGTGTGTGAGAACATTAATGTACTACTTTAAAATTCTTGGTGTGATAGAGCATTAGTGTACTACTTTGAAATTCTTGGTGAGGTAGAGCATTAATGTACTACTTTGAAATTCTTGGTGTATTAGAGCATTAATGTCCCTGTTTGAAATTCTTGGTGTATTAGAGCACTAATGCTGTCCCTGTTTGAAATTCTTGGTGTATTAGAGCACTAATGTCCCTGTTTGAAATTCTTGGTGTATTAGAGCACTAATGTCCCTGTTTGAAATTCTTGGTGTATTAGAGCACTAATGTCCCTGTTTGAAATTCTTGGTGTAGTAGAGCATTAATGTACTACTTTGAAATTCTTGGTGTATTAGAGCACTAATGTCCCTGTTTGAAATTCTTGGTGTGTTAGAGCACTAATGTCCCTGTTTGAAATTCTTGGTGTAGTAGAGCATTAATGTACTACTTTGAAATTCTTGGTGTATTAGAGCACTAATGTCCCTGTTTGAAATTCTTGGTGTGTTAGAGCACTAATGTCCCTGTTTGAAACTCTTGGTGTGTTAGAGCACTAATGTCCCTGTTTGAAATTCTTGGTGAGGTAGAGCATTATTGTCCTAGTTTGAAAGTTTTGGTGCTAGTGGGAAAGTCTTTAGTGTGAGTTTTAGACTGTTATGAGTGAGTGACCAAACATTATTGTTAAAATGTTAGGAATTGGGCAGGAAGGTATGTTTTAACATTCTGCCCTTTCAACTGACTCCTTTCATACACTATTTCATTCCCCCATCTGGATTACATGAACAAATCACAGAAGTCACAGAAGTCATGGTTTGGTCATGTAACTTTATTGTCACAAGACAGCTGCCCAGAATGAGGCCAGAAACACACAGGTTCAATGTTTTTATAAGTTAGAGGTTTAACCTGAAAAACTACAGAGTGAAGGAATGTATGAGGCTGGGATTATCACATTTTATAAAGCACACATCAAGGCTTTCTCTACATGTATGTTCTTAATCTATGGTGACTGTATGATGATAATAAGACCAAGATGATAAAGAAGAAGAAAAAGATGATGATGATGAGGAAGAAGATGATGATGCTTCAGATTCTCATGATTATGAAGAAGAAGAAGAAAAAAGAAAAAGACAAAGAAGAAAAAGAACAGAAAAAAGAAAAAGAAATAAAATTTAACAGACATTACTCAGGATATTCCCATATGTGTTCTGTCCCCACATTCAACAGCTAATCGAGAATTCTAATATTGATGATGCTGGCTACATTATCTTTTTCTTCTTCTTCTTCTTCTTCTTCTTTTTCTTCTTCTTCTTCTTCTTCTTCTTCGCGTTGGAGAAAATATCTAGGGTTTGAGGTTTTTGAACAACGGATCAACATCATGGCACACGGGTAGTAACCCATAAGTGCTCCGTTCTTCTTCTAACTCAAGTCTGAGTCCAAAGAAGCTCAGTACAGTGCACAGGCTCTGTAGCGCCGGCGAGGATCCTGAAATACTTTGGGCAGATTTTTAACTCCAAATTTGTCCCGGGCAGTGCAGTTAGGCTACTCTTTTCGATTTCCAACTGCCAAGGGATGTTGTTACGTGCTCAACAATGCACACGGGCGTCCATCTCACTACCCAGAGACCAGGGAGAATTACTAGAAATCCAAGTCCGCGCGAAAAAAATCCCAGCCAGGGATTGAACTCGAAACCTCTGGCACTCGAGGTGGACACCATGCCTCGAGACCACGCAGCTCCCTGAGAAAATATCCAAAGAACATTCTATACCGAAATAATGATTTCTCTACGTTAAAGTAACGGACCCTTTTCCCATGTCTTCTTGAGTATTGGGCATATAGGGCTAGATCTAAATGTTTATACCAATCGGCATTTGATGGGTGATCTTGTCAACATCATGCCACCCGCCTTTACTTCTCAGGACTTTACCTGCTACCCGATTAGGGCTGGGTCAGCCTGGGAGACCAGATAGGGTCAACCTGGGAGACATGATAGGGTCAACCTGGGAGACAAGGTAGGGTCAACCTGGGAGACATGATAGGGTCAACCTGGGAGACATGATAGGGTCAACCTGGGAGACATGATAGGGTCAACCCGGGAGACAAGATAGGGTCGACCCGGGAGACAAGATAGGGTCGACCTGGGAGACATGATAGGGTCAACCTGGGAGACAAGATAGGGTCGACCTGGGAGACAAGATAGGGTCAACCTGGGAGACATGATAGGGTCAACCTGAGAAACATAATAGGGTCAACCTGGGAGACATGATAGGGTCAATCTGGGAGACATGATAGGGTCAACCTGGGAGACATGATAGGGTCAACCTGGGAGACATGATAGGGTCAACCTGAGAGACAAGATAGGGTCAACCTGGGAGACATGAGAGGGTCAACCTGGGAGATATGAGAGGGTCAACCTGGGAGACAAGATAGGGTCAACCTGGGAGACAAGATAGGGTCAACCTGGGAGACATGATAGGGTCAACCTGGGAGACAAGATAGGGTCAACCTGGGAGACATGATAGGGTCAACCTGGGAGACATGATAGGGTCAACCTGGGAGACAAGATAGGGTCAACCTGGGAGACATGATAGGGTCAACCTGAGAAACATAATAGGGTCAACCTGGGAGACATGATAGGGTCAATCTGGGAGACATGATAGGGTCAACCTGGGAGACATGATAGGGTCAACCTGGGAGACATGATAGGGTCAACCTGAGAGACAAGATAGGGTCAACCTGGGAGACATGAGAGGGTCAACCTGGGAGATATGAGAGGGTCAACCTGGGAGACAAGATAGGGTCAACCTGGGAGACAAGATAGGGTCAACCTGGGAGACATGATAGGGTCAACCTGAGAGACATGATAGGGTCAACCTGAGAGACGTGAAAGGTTCAACTATCGTTTTCTAAAGATTTTTTTAACTATCGTTATGCATTTCTTTCACACTGGAAAAGCAATCAAGATTTACCAATATCTGCAGGGGCATAACAGGCATCTTTATGTGACCACTCTTTGATATCCGGTATCACTTTTGTTCTGTTGTCAGTGTGGACTTTTTCACAAATATCACACCAGTCGAATTTATAATTTAGAGTCGTCAATTTGTCTTTTTCTTTCAGCATTCTAGCGTATCTCACGTGATCTTGTCCAAGCTCTTTTAGATACAGGGACAGGTCTTTCGCTGAAGAGAAATTCGCCGTGTTGATGAAAGCCCCGCTAGGAATGTATTTGTTGTAGTCGAACCCACCTCTTACAACAGGGATGATATGAGAACGAAACTCGATATTTCTAAACAGCTTCTCCGTGACGTAGTCCTTACAGAGGGAGTTTTCAAAGCTGAGGTAGAACTTGTAGGTTGAGGTCAGTGCTCTCTCGCACTCACCTTCTTCTGCTCGTTTACAGGAATGCGTGCCGCAGTTACCGTATATATCCACATCGATGTACTTCTGTAATAGATATAAAAAAAAAAAAAAAACCCATCTTTTAGAAATATGAACTGAGGAAAGTTAAATCGGATGAAGTCAATGGGTGTGAATAAATAAGAGGTCTGGATTAAACATTTATATGCACCGTTATGGGATAAGACAGGGGTGTGTCTTATCACCACTGCTGTTTATCACCTACATCGACAGTATATGCAAGAATGCCAAGCCCATGAATGAAAATGTTGGTAAGATCACGAATTACTCTTTGCAGATGACCAGGCCTTGATAGCAGATAGAGCCATGAAATTGCAACAACATCTAACATCCATGAATGAAGAATGTAAAACAAATAATATGAGAATCAACACTGAAAATACAGAAGTAATGTCAATAGGAAAAAAGAAGACAGATCTAAACATAGCAATAGAGTGCAAAGGCATTAAACAGGCATCTGAGTTTAAATATCTGGGAACTACATTTACCGAAGATGGGAAATTGGATAAAGAAATTAACATTAGATGCAGTAAAGCAAACCAAGTATTGGGACAGCTAGCCCCCCTATTACAGCATAAGACAATCCCAATCAGCACAAAGAGACATCTTATTCAAAGCATATTTATTCCAGCTGTGTCACCAGTGCCAGACATGGTCACTCACAGCAAACCATAAAAGAAAATTAGTAAGCACGGAAATGAGATGTCTGAGAAGGGCTGTAGGAGTGACCATAAGAGATAAGATCAGGAATGAGATCATAAGACAACAAGTCGGCACAGAATCAATTCTGGATTACATACAAAGACAGCAAGTGAAATGGTTTGCCCACTTAGAGAGAATGCCTTGTGACACCATACCATACAAAGCATACATGGAAAGAAAAGAAGGACGTAGAGCACGGAGTAGACCAAGAACCATATGGAAGGATAACATCAGAGAAACTCAACAACAGCATGATGTGCCTATGGTCGAGGCGGCCAGAAGAGCTAGAAACAGAAGACCTTATATCTTCCTCGACACCCACAGCGGTAAAAGAGGAAGTGCAGAAGAGAAGATGGGATAAAGAAGAGGGTGCTATACTGGGTACAATCTGGGAAGAAGCCTGTCGAGAATCCCAGACAGGTACTGAAATTGGAAACAAATGACACAAGGACTTCCACGTGAAGCCGTACACTGATTACTGATGAGAGAGACCGAAGGTGTCGGACCTGGATTCCAATGGTGTTATATAAAGTATTGCACATACGAGAGTGGAATAGATGAATACACGGGTTTGAGGTTTGAACAACGGATCAACATCGTGGCACACGGGTTGAGTTGAGGTTAGATGTAGTTGCCTGTCTTTTGCTAGTTGTGAAGCTTGTGTTAATATCATAGTAAATTTCTGTAGTGTCTTTTTCACTCCCTCTCTCCATATCTTTCTTGGTCAACCTCTTGCCTTGAAGATTGCTGTTCTCATGTGGTACGTTGTAGCTGTTGGCATCCTACATGAGACCAGCATGCTAGAAGACCGTTAATGATGCCTAGATTATAATTTGTTTCTAAGGTTGAAGGGGGTATCTGAGATTTGCCCAGTTAGGTTTAGAACTAAGGTGCAGATTATTGAAATCTTAGGGCGGTCAAAACTGTATCCTTTGGATATTTGCTCCATGTTGCGGTGGTGTGTTGGGAAATGAGCAGGCAGATAGATTGGCCGGTCTGCACAACTTGGTGGTGAATTGATGTATGACAAGTCAGATATTGTGAGAAGCCTTTGGGAGCGAGTGAACAGTGCAGAGGCACAAATAGATCATTACGGTCTGAGGAGAATGGCGCTGCGAGTAAACGGGGGATCTGACCGACGCTCAACACTCAGAGAAGGGCGAGACGGATATACAATCAGACAGTTACTTGGGCCATCGGAAATGGAACTCTTCGCTTGCAGCTGAAGATGGGGACGGAGCGCTTATGGGAGTGTCTTGAGTGCTGTGATGTAAATTCCTTATTTAATATTCAATAACATTCAACAAACCTTTGGGTGGCAGCCTAGGAGAAAAACAGAAGTTTAGGGAAAATGGAGATGGAAAGGGGGGGGGGGGGGGAGGGTACAGACAGTGATGTTAATAATATTTTGCTGTGTCTGAAATAAGGCAGAATATTTCTCTTGAACCATAATGACCACACATGTCTACATATAATTATCAAATTTTTCTGGCCAGATACAATCTCAAACACTAAACTACTTCAAGACACAAACCAAAAAACTCTGGACAGTATGATAACCAAGAGAAGATGGAAATGGCTTGGCCACGTTGTGAGAATTAATCCTGATATACCTGCCAAAACAGCTCTCACATGGACACCAGAGGGAAAGAGAAAGAAGGGGCGCCCAAAAACAACATGGAGACGAACGATGGAAAGTGACCTGAGTGCGGCATCTCTGACATGGAAAACTGCACTGAAGATTGCACAGGACAGGAAAGCCTGGAAAGTTCTCTCTGAAGCCTCATGTGACACTAGGCATCAAGAGAACTGATAATGATGACGATAATGACCGAAGGACTTGATGTTGCAAGCTAGACAATGTTAACACAGCGTGCCTGTAAGATGTGATACATGCATGCATGTGTCGAGAAATTCATGAATGCGAGAGTGAAAAATTTAGTCATCGCATTTTTTAATATTCCCTCTCCCTAGTGTGGGGTTCGGGGTGCCCTATTTTAGACTAAAAAATAATATTCCCTCCCCCATCCCCCCCCCCCCCACCCCACTCCTTATTTCCTCCTTTAAAACAAAATAAAAAATAATAGAAGCATTTTATAAAAGGCGACCAATCAGGGGCGTTTCACTACAAGTCGGAGAGCATCTACCTGCGGTTGGGGTGGGGGGGGGGGGGGGTAACCAGCCTTTTCTTCTTCAGCGTTCCGAGCCCTTGAGGTTCATTGCTGCAGATATCACCCGCCTTCACTCATCTCTCGTTGGCCTTTCTCTTTCCAGTTGGTGACACTAAGTGTTTGCAGGTCTCTCTGGACATTATCTCTCCATCGTCTTCTTGGTCTGCCTCGTGGTCTACGACCATTCAGCTCCCTTGTGTATACAGTTTTGACCTCTCTGTCATTTAACATTCTCTCAATATGCCCAAGCTATTTCGGTCTATTAGAACTCCGGAGTTTCAGCTGGTGTTCACTAATAGAACAAGCACACATGTGTACCGCCCCACTTTTCACTAGTCAAAGACAAATGTCAAGTACTACAGTATTATTGGCAACGACAACGTGAAAGGAGTGCTTTGGTAAATACAGAGATGTTACTGACACATAAGGGTGAACATAAACAATGGATCTTTTGTGTGTGACATTCTTTTGTGTCCTTATGTAATGGGGTGTAATGTAATTCTTTAAGACTCCCACACTCATGTTTTTATGAGGTTAGTTGCGTATCATTTACAAGACGTTGCAGAACCAACCCCAACAGCCCCTGGCTGTTGTTGGCTGTTGTGTGGTTTTTCTAGGCAAATATACGTCCAGTAGTTTGCCATTGCTTTCTTGACAGTTGGCTTTCTTGATACCACTGTCGAAACCAACGCAAGGCGCATGACCCGCTGCTGGGATCTAACCCGGCATCCCGGCATTACGAAGCGTTCGCATTGTTGTTGTTGTTATCGATCCAGCGGCGCATGAGCTTTCGCCCTTTGGCCCAATGCCATGTAGTGGAATTTGCATGTTTTCACAAGCTGTTCTTTTTCTCTATAGTGGGTCCCCCCCCCCCCCCCCCCTTACTTCACCCTAGGTCTAGTGAATATCTGTTCACGAAAGGAGAGTCCATTCTGGTGTCAGCCTCTTGATCTAGCAAAACCTCTCTTACCTCAAGACCATTGTGCGTGGCGAAGAGTCACAGCCTCCATGAGATAGTCCTGGTAACTGGGGGTGCGAATCCCCAGGCAAAACACAATGGATCTAGAGGAGCAAACCTCGATAATAAACCCGGTGCACCACACCGTACTGCCCCCTGTGGGAGGGAAAGAGCCAGAGGTGTGCTGAACAGTCTTAGGAATGGAAACAAGTATGCTAACCCCCCTGAATACCGGAAATTATCGTGAAGGCACAGGGACTCAGGACGTGACGATCCAGTTGCCCCAAATACTCATGCTTAGGCCATGCTTAGAGCCATGAAGAGCTCAGCGAAACCTGCAGGCAATCTGGTGGCGGGGAATGAGCACACTGTGAGCCCCACCTTAGCTACGTGTTAAAGGGGAAGGCAGAAACACAACCTATATTTCCTTTAGAACTGGTACAGGGCATTTCTAGCCCGGGGAGGTAGGTAATCCACAGACACCCCAGCACCACAGTGCCATGAATATGTCAAGCGTTCGCCACGACTTAGCCACAGAGCCGACTGATGTTTGTATGAAATTACCTAATATATCGATTATTGCGAACAACATGCATTGAGATAACATAAAAAATGTAATTACAGTAAAGACGCAATTAACCGCCACTCGTTTAGCTGTCAGTTTCTGTTATCCCTCAACTTCATTTAAAAAAAATTTGATAGAATAAACTATTGACTAAACCAATTGATGAAACTGAAGTATTTAAGACTGCCAGTGTTGACGAAATTGTGCAAGTACGCAAAAGGAAAAGACTAAACAGTAAAAATACTATTTTTTTTATCCGTCTATTTGATTAACCGTTACCGCCCGGGTCCAAACAGTGACGGTTAATCGAGGTTTAACTTTACTACTTCTTCACTGGCAAACTACTGAATGTTAACATTTGCCTAGAAAAACACAACAGAAAAATTGATAGCGTTGGTTCTGCAACGTCCAGTAAAGGATTTAAACTTCATCTGCGTTTGAGGATCATCCAAGCCAAACATTTACTCCTGTCTAGGTCACATTTAGGACGCTACGTATTAGGTCATATCAGGTCCTAAAAAATTTGTTATGCAAACAAAGAGGCCTTTGTGCCAGATTCCCAGCTTCTGCTGGCAGTAAATAGGACAATCCTATAACACATATTTAGGTATCTGTTCGTCTGCTCCTATTA